CAACCAGCGCTCCCACCCTCTCTCTCTCTCTCTCTCTCTCTCTCTCTCCTCCACCCACTCCATCAGTTTGTCAGATAGCATTACTCGAGCATTCAACAGAAGCTGATTGGAGTTAGACGCTACAAACCTCCCGCAAAATGGCTCTGTATTGATCCATCTAGTTATCTTCTTGACGCTGTAATTGCCGGCGTGACAATAAAACACTTGTGTCTTGTTCACGCGTAAAAGCTTAATGTGAGCTCGAGAAAGCCGTTAATAAGGACAGGTTGCATGTCGCAGCTGAATACGGCACGTGTTGTGCAATGTTGCAGTTGCATCCCCATTGACATTCGCAAGCGCACTAAAGATTTCAAAATGGAAAGACTTGAGGGGCCATGTGGCGTTCTTCAGATTCTCTGTAAAAAACCTCTATAGGCAGGAGGAGCTTGAATTCACAAGATCCTGCACCTGAAAGCTAAACATAACCATTAGAGAACATTATATAGCCTAAACGTTCACTGTAGATTGTCACACAAATAAAAACTTAGCCTACTTAAACAATGTTAGGAATCGATTCACAAAACGGGAACCATGCGGTTAGCGGTTCATTAGAATTCAGAAACTTTGAGGCAGTTTAAATGTACAGTGAAGTTCAGGGAGTTCATTATAGTGTAGGTGAGGCATATCTGATTGACTAAAATTCAGTTCCTGAGTTTCCACAGTATCCATGTCCTTATATCAAACAATCAAATGTTACAGTGCTGTCATTAAAATGACATTTTTGGAATTTCGTTTTTTTTTTCACATTCTGTAGGCTAGCCTATTATTTTTATTTTATTTGTCCAAGGCATAACCGTGCACCTTCATTGCTAAAGGAGGAAACAGCCCAAAATGTATAGAAATCGAATAAGATTGACATGTTTTTTGCAAATTGACATGTGCAAAATATATAAAATATTGAATAATGTTGGTATAATTCCAATCTATGTATTACTTTTGATTTATATTGTGTAATCGACCATTTCATATCAGCTTCGTCTCCATGCGCGCGCGTGCGTCTTATAGCTACCGCATAATCATAAAAATAATCTTTATTTCTGTGCTGTAGTTCCAGAATATTTTTTCTGGCGTACCATTTATTTATGACAGCGCATGCTATTCAAATCCGTCTGATTTCTCTATTTTTCTTTCATTTATTTTTAGAATTAAAAAAAAAAATCGAACTCATAAGTCTACTTTATTTTAATTATTTGAATGAGATAAAGACACGAAAACAACACGAATATTTGATGCAATAGATCACAGTATATGTTATAGGCTAGTTTATTGAACAAACTTTTGCAGGGGAATTATGTGGAATCCATTCTGAAACAAATGCGCTCCTCTCCGGCTTTAAAAAATTAACAAACAAATAAAAATACTATTAATTACTAAAAATTACTCATCAAAACAAAATAAACATGCAACTAAAAAAAAAACATTATTCGCCTAAATAATAGATTTTAAAAAACTGACACTGTAACATCTGTTTAAACATACTGACACTCTAGCTGAGATGTTTAAATTTCTTGCCATTTGTAACCATAAATAGTGGTAGTGATATAAATTTGGTCATCGTTTTAAACTGTAATGGAAAGAATGAAACATTTTTCCACTAACGGTATGTGGTCATTTTCTGGGATTTCCACAACCACGGTGCAAATCTCTCACACACACATACACACACACACACACACACGCGGCGCAAAGCATCTCTCACTCGACCCATTTTATTTTTTCAAGCTGTATAGCTGTGACTGCCAGCTATGCAGCCATGTGCACCGGCCCCTGGGGCCACTATATTTATAGTTTGTCCCCTCATTCTCCCACGCTGCACACTCATGCAACTTACAATGTTTAAAAAAATAAATAAACAAAAACACTTCTGGAAAGGAGATTTACTTAATCATGATGTTAGTATATACTGACATAATTATTCTAAATATTATTATTATTATTATATTTTATGATGGTAATTCAACAGGTAACCCTAATACCATACTTTTCTCGCGGATACTAACCCTTAATAAAAATTAAAAAAAAAAAAAGAATAAAATTAGTTTTTGTCTGAAATGAAATAAAGACCCAATGTTGCGCGCTGTGCTTATAACGCAAGTGGTAAACATTTAGTGTTTTGAAAAAAATATTGATTATTTAGATAATTAAAATTTCATGTCTTTGACGTGTCACCCTGGCAGCTTTCTTTTTGTTTAAAAAAAAATATATATTTATATTGCTTTTTTTGCCCAGAACATATGAAAGGTTTTTTTTTTGTAATACTGTTTATCGAATTTATTACCATAATAATTTTAGCATAGCTTTATTAAATAATGTTCCACCTTCGTTAAAGAGCATGAATCAAATATTTAATTTTAAGCTCTCAGTTTGGGACGCGTCATCAAACGCACGTGTACCTCTATGGACATGTGATGCAGCAGCGCCATCGTGTGATCACATTTAAGAGATCACACTAGCAAACTAGTTGAATCACTGAAAAATTAATCAACACTGAATAATGACATTGAAGTTCCATTTTAATTACTGATACTGAAAAAACGAGTTGCATATGTTGGCTGTGTTTATGATTCATAATGCGCATGTCTTTAACAACTGCTGTAGAAAATATAAATTCTAAATATTAAAATAAGAAAACAAATATAAAACACACACACACACACAGCTCTTGAAAAAAATTAGACCAGTGCAGAATTATCAATTTCGCTGGTTTTACTATGTTTTAGTAAAATTTTAAAAAAAAATTAATTCTATGAACTACTGACAACATTCCTCCCAAGTTCTAAATAAACATATTGTCATTTAGAGCATTTATTTGCAATAAATAAATAAATAAAAGATGCAGTGTTTTCAGACCTCAAATAATGTAAAGAAAACAAGTTCATATTCATTTTTAAACAACCACACAATACTAATATGTGAACTTAGGAAGAGTTCAGAAATCAGTATTTGGTGGAATCACTCTGATTTTCCTGTCACCTGTCTTTCACAAAGCTCGGCTTTGTTTGATGGCTTGTGACGATCCATCTTCATCTTGAACACATTCCAGTGGTTTCCAATGGGGTTCAGGTCTGGAGAATGGGCTGGCCATGACAGGGTCTTGATCTGGTGGACCTCCATCCAAACCTTGATTGACCTGGCTGTGTGGCATGGAGCACTGTCCTGCTGGAAAAACCAATCCTCAGAGCTGGGGAACACTGTCAGAGCAAGCTTTCTTCCAGGACAACCTTGTACGTGGCTTGATTTATGCACCCTTCACAAAGACAAATGTGCTCGATTCCAGCAAGCTCCCCAGATCCTCCACCAGATTTCACAGTGGGATAATCATTTGATGACCAGGTGTTGGGCAAAGCTAAAAACTGGACTCTTCAGAGATGTTCCAATCCTTATGGTCTTTTGCAAACCTCAGCCTGGCTCTTCTTTGCTTCTCATTGATGAAAGGCCTTTTTCTAGCTTTGCATGACTTCAGCTCTTCAGCCCCTAGGAGCCTATTTCGAACCATCCTCGCCGTGCACTTCACACCAGCTGCCGTTTGCCATTCTTTCTGTAGGTCACTTGATGTCATCCCGCAGCTGTTGAGTGACATTCAAATGAGTTGGCGGTCATCGGAGAGTCATTTACGCCCTCTGCCAGCCTGTAGCTTTGTTGTCCCTATAATGTCTGCAGCTTGACCTTGTTCTTGTGAACCACTGTCTTTGAAATTTTAAGGATGGATGCAACCTGACACTCACTGTATCCCTCTGCCAGTAAAGGCAAAACTTTTCAACTCTTTTGGCATGGTCAATAGTTATTATTTGATTCCAATTATTTTTGAGGTACTTCTAGTAGTTTTTGCCATCCAGCTGGTCCTATTGCAAGAGGACAGTGATGACCGCAGTAGTGGTTTTTATACTTTTCCTGGTTAAATAAGATTTAGTTGAGGTGATCACCTAATAAGTACTTCAATAAGCAGAATGAGGTGTGCCTGTGTTGGAATTAATTTATACACACACGCACACACACACACACACACACACATTTACATTACATTTTAATAATTTAGCAGAAGCTTTTATCCAATGAGGACAATAGAAGCAATTAAACCAACAAAAGACAAGTCTAACTTAGTCTAACATAGTACATGTAGCAAGGTTTTTGTTTTTGTAAATAAAAAAGAATAAGTAGATAGAAAATAAATATAATAGATAGAGCTAGTGTTAGAGGGTCAAGTTATTTTTTTTATAATAATTAAAAAAAAAGTAGATGTGTCTTTAGCCATTTCTTGAAGATTCTCAGATCGAGTTGAGCAGGTCATTCCACCGACATGGAACAGTTAAGGTAAAAAGTCTGAAAGTAATCTTGTGCCTCTAGGGATGGCTCTATCATGCACCACTCACTTGCAAAACGCAAGCTTCTGGAGGGCACATAAGTCTAAAGTAGTGAATTTAGGTAAAGGGATGCAGAGCCAGTGCTTGTTTTGTAGGCAAACATCAATGCTTTGAATTTTATGCGAGCAGTTATTGGTAGCCAGTGCAAGTTGATGAGCAGAGGTGTGACATACTCTCTTTTTGG